CACCACCCGCCCAGCCACCCACCCCGGACCGCCGAGCTATTCGTCCATAAAACCCAAACTTCTTAGCAAGTTTTAGGCTATTCCTTATAACCCTGTGAATTTTTTTAATTTTTTTTTAAGTCTGTCTCGGTTTATGCGAGTGGTCCGTGTCAGGTTGCCTACAACATTTCTTATTTCTGCGGGCATGGCCGCACCGCCCACACTGCGGGCGCTTAGCTAGTATAGATTACCTTTCAAAGAGAAGAAAAAAAAAGAATAAGAATGAATATGGTGCCAAGACCATAAATAAGGCCATCTTTTTTCTTTTTCCCCATTTGTTTGCCTAGGGCCTGGACCCCACTGCCTTGCGGCCTGGAAAAGTTCGGGCGCTTTATTGTTTTCCAGACCCCACCGGTGTTGGAACCGGTGTGGAAAGTCGGTCCGGAAAGGAATTCCAGACCCCACCGTGCTTGGAAGCAGGTCGCAGAAATGCTGACGGGGCGTTTCTACTCGGTTGGCGGTCAGGAAATTCACCTCCGACCGCTTTCCATTCCCTCTCCAAAGAGGCGTCCAGACGAGCAGGGGGGGGGGGCATGTCCATCCGTTTCCAGACAAAGGTTGGACGGCGTGGACCATGCACCCTCGTCGTGGACCGTTTTTTGGACCGGGAGGCTGCCGCAGACATGCTCTTGTTTTTTGCCGTCGCACGGTTCTCCCAAGGGCCCGAGGGTCTGGACCATCGGTGCTCCCCTTGCACACCAGCTGTGGTGGCCACTTGCCGAGCGCACAACCTTCGTGGACCCGTGCTCCTCGCCAAACCCTCCTCCTTCGTCGACGGCTATGGCTTCCCGTGAGTGCTCTGTACCTGCACTCCCACTCTGGATGGTCCGTCCTTCGTCGACGGCTATGGCTTCCCGTGAGTGCTCTGTACCTGCACTCCCACTCTGGATGGTCCGGCCGAGAAAAATGGTTCCGACGACAGAAGTGTGGGGGGGGGGGCATCCGCCGATGCTCCCTACGATAATTTCCATGCACAGACAGGTCCCGCCGCCCGAGCCGAGCGGACTTCGTGAGGCCGTTGTGTGCTGCACGGTACTTGTGCAGCACCCGCCACACCGGGTCGCGCACGGCCACACACGGACATGTCCTGGTGCAGGCCGATAGAAGGCCGTGGACCACAGACCCAGACCGACTTGGCTTTTTGGGAAACACCCCGGGGGATTTCCTATTAGGGCATGTCCATCCGTTTCCAGTGCCGAGAGTCAAGGGTGGCGGTGGGGTCCTAACGAAACGCGACATGTTCTTTCCAACCACGCTGAGCCGTTTTTTGTGGCCAACATCAGTGTCCAGCCGCCGGGCAGTGGGGTCCAGTCATAAATTGTGAAGAGGGTCACCACGTTTGGGTTCAGTGTATGGGAGTCAAGCAGTAGACCAGAATCGTCTTTTATTCTTTTTTTCTTTCTTTCTTTCTTCCTTCCTTTTTGTTGAAAAGGGGATGGCCCTGAGATATCATCATCGACGGCCCTGACATATCATCATCCCCGCCCGCCCTCACCACCAAAAAAAAAAAAAAAAAAAAAAAAAGTAAATAAATAAAAATCATCGCACCAACGGCGGGCCCAAGCCATTCAGAACCATTTCATTATGTTTCATCTCATTACATCAGCTTCTGGGTTCGAACTCGGGTTTGTATTTCAACTAAGGGTTCATTGGGTGTACACCCACTGAGCCCCGGGGCCCAAGTCCCACTTGGTACCCCAAATCTCAACTTCTGACCGTAGATTACGATGATGATCAGCGGCCAGAAATGAAGAATCAGTCAGGGTAAGTGGGACTTGGCCCCAGCACGTTGGCAAGTAGGAGACAAAATTTTCTGGACACCTTATCACTGTGACATCCATTGCGTGGATGAAACTAGGGGCACAATCGCACTCACACTTTTTCACTTGTCTCGGGACGGAGTGACTACATGGTCCGAGGTAACGCGCCTAACACACGCGCGAAAGAGGGAGGGTGCTGGCTCATACCACGTCACAGGTTGACGTGGCAAGATGAGCCCATAGACTGGGAGGGTGCATGACGCCATCTCTGGATATGCCGCGTGATAGTTCCATAGCCGTAGCATTCTCTTACAGCTACGACAGGCTGACAAGGCAATGATCACGGTCATCGCCGCTGGGACTGGGCGGAGTAAGCCTTGCGAATGAAGTGTGCGGGTGATTTCGTAGTCTTTTTTCCAAGATTGGAGGTATCTCGACAGCAGCTCATGGGGCCTGATGTACTGGCGATTCCTCACAGAGAGTGATATAGGTTGGATACACACGAGCGAAAGAGGGAGGGCGCTGGCTCATACCATGTCACAGGTTGACGTGGCAAGATGAGCCCATGGACTGGGAGGGTGCATGATGCCATCTCTGGATATGCCGCGTGATAATTCCATATCCGTAGCATTCTCTTACAGCTAAGTCAGGCTGACAAGGCAATCATCACGGTCATAGCCGCTGGGACTGGGCAGAGTAAATCTTTAGAATGAAGTATGCGGGTGATTTAGTCGTCTTTTCTCCAAGATTGGAGGTATCTCGACAGCAGCTCATGGTAACGTTTTGATTCTAGTGTATAAAGGACAAGGCATAGCTAAACGGGAGTGATGTGCGACGCCAACGGGAGTGTTGTACGACGCCATTCCAGAGATGCAATGAGCAAGACGCTGTAGAATGGCCGTCAACAATCACGTGCGTACAATAGTCGAGGAGGACAGGGCAGACTAAACAATTCGATTAGCAGGTTGGCGGGCTGTCACCACTGGCAGCCACACCAATAGGAGCGGACACCAGTAAGATCGCCAACACAAACAAGGCGTACTATATACTTTTTTTTTCGAAAGTAGGTAGGCGAGTTCGCGGTGAGTGATAAGCTGTCAGCCGGCTGATCGGTGTGTGATACGGGAAATGTTGGAACTGGGCTGTCTCATTAAAGCCACAGATCCCAGATACATCTGCGCAGGCTGGAGTACGTAACGATCACGGTCATCATTATGGACCAAATGGGAGGGAGAACAAAATGGGCTAATAGTGAAGGAAGGGAGAAGTATCAGGAAGAGAGCGTTCAGTAATCCGCCAGGTGAACGAAAAACATCTGTGTTTTCAAGTGGAAGCGACAAGCAGTGGAGGGCTTGATTAGGAGAACAGCAGAGGGTGGACGATTGATTTGGAAATAAGGCGAGACGAAAAAAGACGAAACAACAAAAAGGTGTGTGTTCTCCACTTCTCAAACTCCACTTCTCTCTCCAATCCTACCTACTTGAGAACCTCCGGACGTCAGCGCCAAAAGAGTATCAATTAAAAAAAAAAAAAAAAATCACAATAATAAAAAAAAATTTTGTTTATAACGTGATCTGGGAAAGATAGGAGAAGCACACATTCAGAATCGCAAAAAGGTCAAATTCTCACTGACCCCCAAGTGATCTGGAAAAGAAAGGAGAGTACACATTCCACTCTCCTTTCTCATTTCTTATTGTACCTATGATCTTTTACTTCAAAGAAGGCAAGTGTCTTCAACTTTCCATTTCAATTCACACAATCGTTGAAATAGCGGATTCCACAGCCTTTCTCATTGTGTAATCTTAGTGCGAATCGGCTCTCAACAATCCCCTCATATCACCTTACTATTACCTCTATTGCCTTTTCCATTCCGTATTCCGTATACCCCCCCTCTCAATCCTTCTCTCAATCTAATCACTTCGCCTCTCCCCACATTCCCTTATTCCCCAACCAATCTCCCTTCCGTCATTCGGCCCTCCCCACACTCCCTTACTCCCCAACCAATCTCCCCCCTGTCATTCAGCACATACCCTAAACCTTTCACACTATCAAACGCCTTTATTGCCTCTTCCATTCCAAATACCCCCCCTCTTTCCCCTCCTCTCAACCAAAGAACTTTCGCCTCTCCCCACAACGAAGAAGGCCGTGTGCGGGAACCTCTTCTCCTTCGACTCCCAGAAACATGCTGGATGGGTATAGCTCCTCGCCACCCGGTCCATGGCCACATCGTCGAACGTCGGCTCCCTGGAATGGAACTTGTCAATGGCAGTGAGGACCTCGGTGTGCTGATCCGAATGTTCCGGGTACCCAAACTGAATCAGAGCGAGTTTCAAACCGTGCTGCATCTCCTCGTCATCTGGCATCGTGCGGTCTCGAAACTCGGGGTCCAACATCATGGCAGCAACATGAGCAGGCGACTTGAACATGGTGCGGCGTCTGTCAAACACTTCAAGCAGCGCGTCCTTCTCGTCCTTCTCCAAAGCGGCACATGTAGACAAACAACGCGCGATCATCTCGTCGTACCGACGCAAAATCTTGCCAATCTGCCTCGTGTCGCTGTGCATCATCTGCAGCATGTCCATGATGGGATCCAACAACTTGCACAGCGCTCTCATATCCTCCCACCATTGAGGACAACCGACACATGTTGTGACCTCCGCRGCGTCGTCTCGAATCTTCTTCSTTGACCAAACARTGTCCTTCCATCGATCATCAACGACCACCTRCATAAGATGCGATTGCAGCAGAAGAAGTCGTCGCATCATAATCACATGCGTACCGAAGCGAGTCTCGGCGGGAAGCAGCAGAGCCTTCGTCGTGAAAGCTTGCAAAACTTCGCGAGCGTGGCTATGACGCTTGAAAAACTTTGTGACCAAACGCGCCTGAGCAATGCGGGTCGCCACCCAGTCAATGTTGCCGATGTCCTCAAGGATAAGGTCCATGACGTGTGCCACACAAGGAATCCAGAAGATGTGTTTGACACTCTCATCCTTCTGGAACACCTCCATCGCAGAAACGTTCGAACTGGCAGAGTCTGTGACGAAAGCGGTGATGTCGGCGAGCTTGATGTCAAGGGACTTCAACCTTCGCAGCCAAGCCTGCGCCAGAGCAGTGGCATCCTTCTTGCCTCGCATAACATCTGTCGCGACGTATGTGGCGCCCCGTGTAGTGCCGACGAGATAATTGCACAACATTTGGCCCCGAATGTTGGTCCAACCGTCTGTCATTATCGTGCAACCGTAGGTAGCTGCAGTAGCGAGGACAGGTTTCACACATTTTTGGACTTCCACATCAAGCTCATCCAAAAGTGTGGTACAGATCATGTGATACGTTGGGGGTTTTGGGGTGGGGACTCCTGGAACCCCAGGCGGGATGATCAACGTCAACATGCGTTTGAAGCTCTCAAGCTTCACACAGTTGAACGGCATGCCGCTCTCGACAATGAATCGCATGATCTGCAGGTGYCATGCGTGCTCCAGCGGGTCGTTGTAATACGAGGTCACCGCCTGCTGCCTGTAAGTGCCCCTCACTCGTGCACCGACGCCCATACCAAGCGAATCCCACACCCCGCCCCCGGCCGCAGGTGATGCGGTGGGGCCTGGACTCGAAGCTGCAATGTTGCGCAGATTCTGTAAAGGATCCAGTGTCCTAAAAACACCGTGCTGCGAGGTCGGGCCGTTCACGGGCACAGGAGTGGGTGACGAATCCGAAACCTGGACGGGCTCGTCGAGCTGGACGTTTCCCGCACCCTTAGTGGCCGTTGCAGCGGCCTCGCCAACAGGTGCCGAAGTCAAGTCTGGTGTAGGCCGTCGTGTTTGCGAAGGAGGGGGAGGCAACCATGGATACGCGGCGGATTGATGTCCTGTTGCGGGTGCTCCTGCCACGGCCAGACGTGTGTCTGTGCGTCGAACTCTTGGGACCTTGTCCCTGTTGCCAGTGAACAACGGGGCAAGGCCTGATGATGTGCCAGCGTCCTTCCCCCACCCACCGCCCTCGACGAAAGCACGAGTGCCTTGCTTGTCGAATGGCACAGGTTCCCCGACACCTAAAACTGGCACGGTGCCTTGCACATCAGGCTGCGTTGCCACARATGGTCTGCCATCAACGGATGCGGGAATCGTCTGACGAAGCGGACGAGGGGGGAGGGGAGCAAGTGGTGCACATGGAGATGGCGCCACTTGCAAGGCGGCAACGGTCGACGGGGGCTGCGGAACGACGTCATCGGGAAAACGAAGAGGTGGCCATTGAAAAGAGGGATGACCTAGAGGGAGACTCTGCAAGGCCTGCACGGCAGAAGCCAAATGTGCAGGACACTTGGACATATCCTTTGACCAAATCGCGTGCCACACCGCCGGAGTGGC